AGTAAGAACCCTATGTATGGATTATTGTTTGGGTTGGGATTTGTTTCTCAAATTCTATTTTGATTCGGATCATTTTATGATTGATATTATTTTAAAAATGATTGACTAGTTGATTTTGATTGAGAATAAATTGGCAGCTGGATAGTTCATTTTGAAAAGTTATTGCATATCTAGAAACTGAATATAGTTTCTATTTTTGAAAGTCAACTATTGATCCAAAGATGATAAATTGATAATTAGTGATTTGATTGATATTTGATTGAGTTTCTGTAGCTGAATGATCTTTATTTATCTCTTAGGAGTGTGTCCAGATTCGTATATCAATTTCGAAAAGATTTTAGGATTTAAGAAGATTGCTTCACGAACTGGTTTTGGGAGAGCTGACTCTGACAGCTATGTTGCAGTTATTGTTACAACAAATATCTGTAACAGATTTAGTTCAGTGAATTAATTGAAGAGGTTGTCAAGCTGTTCACATTTTACTTATTTATTCAAAGAGTCTCTGTACTCCTTTTGATTAGTTTTTTTGGGTTGTGAGATAAGTTTATGCACTTGTATTCAAGGAAATGATTTGAGTGTTTTTCAGGAGAAAAACTTAGTTGGAGAGATTCTAATATTAAAAAGACGAGAGGATCTCGCTGTTCAAGTCCATTGAAAAATTACAAGTTCATAGGTGTCTTTTTAGAGAGGGAGTCTCAGGTAGATTAAGTCCAATTAAATTGTAAAAGAATTCTTAGTAGATTATTCATCATCTAGGTATGGCCCCACAGAGTAGGTTGTGACTAAACTACGATACTAATTCTCTCGTGTTATTTCATTTTACATTTCTGCATTATTTATATTGTTTTATAAAATATTAAAAAACTCAAATCGATACCTAACAGTTTGTATTACCTTTTCATATTTTGAAATACATTTCCCAAAATTACTAAATCACATGCCACAACAATACAAATATGCTAATACAAAAAAATTACAAGTACCAATTGTAATTTCCTATAATGGTAAAGTCGAAAAGGAAAAATTTCACTAAAAATGTTTTTGTAACTGTGGGAGAAAAAAAAGAGAGTTTTCAAGTCATACTTTAAAGTGATTTTTATTTCCCTAAAAAAAAAAAAGTGATTTTGTTAGGATAATCATAACATCGTAATTTTCTCAAGGTAAAAGAGTAATTTTACGGATTCTCCACTAAAGACGTGCCACTAGAGTCATTTTTGTGTCCATACTCTTCTCTTTTTTGTAAACTTCACACAAGTTTGTTTTTTTACCCTAGTTTTTTTCTCTCACTTTCTTGGTTACCAAACATCGGGTAACTCGCCATTTATTTATTTGTTTTTCTACTATTTGTTGTCATTATTGTACGTTTTTTGCTTTTGTTCTAATGGACGAGCGCCATACTTGATATATTACAGACAAGTTACCTGAATTTTTGGTAACGTTTAGGAGAAATGTTGTTCCTTTCAACTTTCTCATCAGCCAAACAGTAATTTTTAAGATTCAAGCTGGCTCTTTTTTGCTTTTTCTTTGTTTCCCGCTCATTTTCAATCCTCTAAGGTTATTAGCGCTTGTTTGTTGGCTTACACGTTGATGTTTGGGATGTTCAGTAACCTTAATTCATGAATTTGATTTTTAAAATTTAAATTTTTTATAAGAGAAAAATCGTAGAGAATTAAAAAATATGATTTAAAATTAAGAATGAATCTTTAAAACAAACATCCCATTTATGTTTAGCAAATTATTATTTTGAAAACATTCAGCAATGATTTTTTAGTACTGTTTACTTGGGTTCTTGAGCAACTATAATTTGAAATTTTACTTGTTATCAAGATGTTATCTCAAGTAAATTATAATTTTTACTTGAGCGAATAATTTCTTAATTAATATGAAAAATGTTTTTTTCCTCTTCACTCTAGAATGTTTAAGCCTTAATTTTTTGGTCGCTTCTGTAGTATGTGATTGATTTTATTATTGCATGTTTCTGATCATTCAAAATCATATCAAAACTAAATAGTACGCAAATATGATGGAATTATGGCAGTTTGTGTAGGGTGTTGTTGTCATCATACCATAAAATTCTCTCTCTTCTTTTTTTTTTTCCCCTTCTGTTTAGGTAATTCTGTAATACTTGCAATAAAAAAAGAAATCACATGGGTAATTTGCATTTCTAATCACATTACATTAGCTTTTCATACTGTCTAACATGATTATCCAGTAATATGAAGTTTAGATCAAGGCCCCGTTCATTTTATCGATTTGAGTTTAGAATTCGAGTTTTGTTACAGTAAAAATATCTCAAAAACAGTCACATCTAACTTTTTTGCTACAGTAAAAAGCTCTCATATAAAATTACATCTCAACTTAAATTAAAAACTCGAATCAATGAACTAAACAGGTCCCAAGTTTTTACTTTTTAGAAACGCACTATTTCTAGACCTGACTTACCACAGAAGGCTCTTATGCATTAAATGCTTTTTTTTTTTTTTTTTTTTATGTTTATTGTTGTCCACTAAATGGAATACCATTGTTGTTCGTGCATTGTGCACAACTATATCAGAATTTGTTTTGGTCCCTTATTGGATGTGGTAAAATATAACTTATAAGCATTCATCTTCTCTCTTGTTGTTGAACTAGTGGGTCCATGTATTGCGAGTTATTTAGGCGATGCGACGTTGCCATAGCATAAAAGAAGACAGAACAGCATGACAGACTTGGAAAACTTGCTTCTCGAGGCAGCAGGAAGAATGACTGCAGCCAAAAGAAACTGCCATTCAGTTTCGTCTTCCAGAAGGCAATCTGGGGGTGCTCACTTGGATGATGGAAATGATTCCGGAGACAAAGATTCAGATGACAATCATGACTATATGAGCAAGAGGCCTGCTTCTCAAGTTCCTTTGAAGAAAAGGTATGAAGCTACTGAAGGAGAACATTATCAGGGCAGTGATGGAGAAGACAATTTTGGTGTAGAAGACAGCGCTAACTCTGATGTTGACAGTGACCTTTACAGGGATGAGGATGACAAGAAAAGGCTTGCGGAGATGATTGAACTTGAAAGAGAGATGATTTTGTCTGACAGGGCGATTAAGAAGGACGAAAAGAGTTTAAAGGAGAAATTGAAGCTCAAGTTAGACGATGTGAAGTCCAAGCAATCCAGAAAAAAGAAGTTACCTTTAACGTCGGCACTTGGTGCGCGATCATCATCCAGAACTGCTGATAGGACAGCTGCAATGGACAGTGCGCTGAATTAATTACGGGAAAAACGGTTAAAGCATCAGGGCTCAAGGGCTCAGGGTAGTGGTACCGAGAAAAAAGCTCCAAGTTCAATGAGTCTGAGTAGCTCCAGTGAGAGTGAGAACAACGTCAATAGCTGTCATAGTGAAGATGAAACATCACCTGGGGTAAGCCAAATGGTTGATGGTGACGACGAAAAGGGCATTCCAGGATCAGAGCCAGCATCATATGAGGA